AATCGAACCAGTACTGTAGGCTTTCTTCGTACCCATGTTGAGTGCTGCTGCAAGTAAAACCATGGCGGCGATTGGATTTGAATTTTTTGTTTTCCTTTGTCAATCTAATGGTTAAAGTCTTTCTTGTGATGCAAGTAAACATATATTTATAGTTATAGGGCTCCTCATAAAACAGTAGTATCTTATAGTAGTAGTAGTTATCTATTGATGGATTTGATTCCTTAATGATCCTCTGTCTGTAACATCGATCGAGGAGTCCCCTTTGATAAATAAATATACCATTTATTTTAATTGAAATATATATATATATAAATAATGAAATAACTAAATAGATTTTAAATCTGAATTTCAATATAAGTATATACTTATTAGAAAATATATAGTTATAATTAAAATCTATTAAATAAATATAAGTATAAGGTTTACTTTATTTTATTTTCGTTAGTCAAAATTATTTATAAAATCATTCACAAATTAAATGTTTCAAATCTAGCTATCATCTCTAATTTTCAAATATCATATTGTTTATTATAGAGACTTTTGGTTATAATATAAAAAAACTAAACCGGTAAAATATAGAGAATGTGCATAAGTTTAAGAACGATTGAATCAAAATAATTATTCAACATACAAAATGTCATTTCTGAGCCAAAGAGTTATTCGTTAGTGAAAAATATATAATCGTAATAGAAATATGTTTTTTAAATTTTTCATTAAAATATGCATAATATGATTTAAGTTTGCATGTTAATATGTATAGTGTAAATGTTCTTTTATGATAATATGTGTTACATACATTAATCGATCATTTACTTTAATTGATATAGATAAAAATAGAGTAATTATAAAAATAAAATAAAATAACAAGGGCCGTTAACGACGGTTTCGGGGAGTGAATCATTCACAAATTAAATGTGTCAAATCACTTCTCAAATGTGGGACAATAAACCATATAAAACTATTGGCGAAGATACAAAAATAATATTAAGATATAAAATAAAAATGAAAGAATCACCATTTTATAGTTCATTTAAACTGGATTTATTTATTTTTTCGCATTTAGGATAGTCTTGAAAATTCATGTACGAAAACGGTAATGTCTGCATGACAATGTTAGGAGATGCATACAACAATAATTTATGTTGAATAATATATTTAGATGGGTATCCACCTTCATTCAACCAATGTTGAACAATATATACATATAGATGAGAATCTTTAATAATCTTTTCCAAGTGATTTTTTTTTTTTTCGAAATAATTACGACTTTAAAAATATTTTCAAATATTTATTCATGTCTTCTATCATTATATCCATACAAGAAATATATGTCTAATTTTTATGAAATATTGTACTTGCAAATATAATTAATTTGCACCCACTATAACCAAAATAATAGATAACTAAACATTCTAACATAGTTTGTTAGCTTCCAATCAACAATAAAAAAATGATTATTACAAATGAGTTATAGCATGTTTGAGTTAGTTTTCAAAGACGGTGACACAGAAGGAAGACATTAGAAAACTCAATTGTAATGATAATAACAATGATCATTATTCTAAGCATAATGAGGATATCATAAAATATACGAATGACGACATAGATTTCTTTAGCATTTTTAATTTCACACAAATATATTAATTTTAATTTATATTTTCAATCCAATGTTTTTTTTATTTAAGGAAAAAAATAATATTATACTGTTAAATATAAATCTAATAAAAAAAATAACTTTTAAGTAAAAAAAAAAAACAATATCACGGGCGTAACACGTGCATCTTCTTAATAACTATAGACGTCTAAAACAATAATATTGGTATTGATCATGCCTATCAATTGATTTTATTCCTAGATGATATCATCATTATCAGTAGTATTGTTCATATATTACTTCTTATAACTATACAAGTTTAAGGGCAATAGTATTATTCTTTGTACATAAGTTTGAACGCAATAATATTATAGGAAAATGCAACAGTCACATTACGTAATCATTCCATTAATATTATAGGGAAATGCAACGGTTTCATTACAAAACCATTAAATTGCGGAACCATTAAATTGGGGTTTGTAACCGTTGGATCATCTATCCTATATACGGTTTATAACTACATGATGATCTGAAAAGGTTACAAATCCCGAAAGAATGGTTCCGTAACGAGACCGTAGCATTTTCTAATATTATATTATGCCTTTAATCTAATTTTATTTTTTATTCAAAAACAAAGATGTACTACATGAGCTTATTCCATTAACAATAACATGGTCAATTTAAATTAAGCTAATATTAATTTTCAATCAAACTATCTTTTTGTGCATAAACAAATGATGATAATAATAATAATAAGAAGAAGAAACTTACTAATTAGATGCAATACTTGGAAATTTTCACTATCAAATAAAACAAACTAAATAACAGTCATGAGCTAAGTAATCTCAAACAACCAAAACAAAACAAATCATGAGTTTGATTCCCTAGTTTTGGGAATGGTCTTTGGTTGGTGGGATACTGGAACAAGAGGATCCGTACGACAACGTGCCGTCATCGTTCTGCACGAGAAACGGGAACCTAACGAGCGGGGTAGGGGTGAACCACTTTGGTCCACTAACCCGTACACTGCTCCTCTGCACATCAACAGGATAGAAGCAGGGCGCAAACGTCTCGTCTCTGTAATTGAAGATGCCAGCATCGTAATTATAGACGTCAACATGATGGCCACCATAGCGCCAGCTCGGGGGTTCTGTATAGTAAATGGCGTCGGGCTTCAGCTCGGGGTAGTCCGCAGCTGGGAGCCCAAAACCCATTATTGGAGCCAATGAAAAGGGCCAGCCCATCCAGAGAGCGGTCCATGTAAACCAAGGAGCCAGTCTCCGGGTCGTATCTGTGAAAATCGAAACCAACTGTCGTGTACGGAGGATCCGTGTAGATCCCTAGCTATCTTGGGCCCATAATACTCATCCTTGGTGTAGTAGCCATCGGGCCCCACCCAGTCCTTGGTAAACCGTCTTTGGGATATCCGGCAATGTGCGGATGGATGGAAGCCTTACGTGGCGGCCGTAAAGGGGATTCGAGAGGACGAGGTCGCAGCGTTTCTTGTGGAACAAGAAAAGCCAGCCGTGAGACTGATCCGACGATGCTATAATCGCCGTCTTGCCAAAATTCATGTTCTCCGGTTCTTCGGAGGCTCATCACTCGGTTCTCGCCAAGGATGTAAAACTGATAAACCAGATGACCATCTCCGGTGAAGATTGGCGGCAGCATAAGCCAGGGAGAGGTTTTCGATACCCACGGCGCGGCGGTTTTTGGCCGCGGCAAACTGTAAGGAACACGAGTATGGATACTACGACTACTACGACTACTACGACTACTACTACTACTCATCGTTTTCATCATAGCATGATTGATTGATGATGAGAAGGTTTCACTCATTAATGATTTTCTGCTGGAACGGCAACTGTAAGACCTTACACTCAACCGGAACAATGTCAAAGGAGAAGATAAGGCGGCGCTGGTCGCCGTAGATTTAGAGAAAGCTGTCTGAAAAATGGAGAACGCCGCCATCAGATCTTTAGGTCTTTCTGCTGAAAATCGACGAGAAGAAAGAAAATGGATATATTTGTTGATGGCTCGACCTGCTGCTAAAAGAGAAATGGCTTGGGTCGGGCTGCTTGGAAAAAGATGAGGCCAACTTGCGTTGGGCCGAAAAATAAATGGGAGCTGCTGGTGACTTTTATTGGGCCGAAATTAGACTAAATAAAAAAAAAGGAGTATAGACCCTTGGGCCGAAAATTGAATGGGAGCTGCTGGTGACTCTTTCTCTCAATTAAATAACTGATTAAATTGTAAATCTCTTTCAATTCGTCACTTTCCAAAAAAAAAAGGAAAAGTAACTGATTAATTGTAAATCTCTTTCAATTCGCCACTTTCCAAAAAAAAATTGCAACCCACCAATATTAAAAAACTGGAAAAAAAATGAGACAATTATTTGAGTTTTGATACAAATACAAATAAATTCATCAGTAGTTGTAAGTATGCTAATAAAATATGGGAAATGCTACGGTCGCGTTATGAAATCATTCCGTCAGGATTTGTAATCGTTAGATAATCATGTAACCGTCGGGGATAGTTGATCTAACAGTTACAAACTCCGACGTAATAGTTCCGTAACGGGACCGTAGCATCTCCTATAAGATATAGGAGAATGCTACCATCCCGTTACGGGATGGTTCCGTTGTGTTTTCTAGCCATAGATATACATGTAATATAGTGT